GGAGCTGTGTGCCCCCCATACATGACTGTAACATTTCTGATGGATAGGATGAAGAATGAAAATGCAGAAAATGGGAGTTCAGTTTAAGGCCAAAGGGCCAACTTCATAATGAAAATAAGAGACTGAGAAAAGCATGTCAGGTAAGGTGCTATTTAGTGAGAGGGACAGGGAGAGGAATCGGAGACTGAAAAACAGTTTCTGAAAGAAGTGAGAAAAGGAAGAGTAAGAGGAATTTGAAGCCAAGACACATTAATAAAGGAAATTCACATAGGACCTGAAGAGAACCCACTTGTAGGAAGGATGCTGTATTAATTTAAAATGGAAAGCCACAATTAGAACATTGTTGTGTTTTGTTACAATCACCAAAAACCAGAGCAAACCAGCATAACAGCACTGGACAATGGTATAGGGGTTGGTATAGATGTTGCCTGCCTTGAATAAGCAATTTTTCTTGCCTAACCTCCTGTGTTTTTAAAGAAAACCTTTCTCGGACTACTCTACAGCAAAGCACCAAGTATTTTATTTTATTATAATGGCCATGATAGTGCTTGAGAATAGGCCACAGTTTATTGATTATGAGTTTAAATAATTTGCATTGAAATGCAGAGTTATGCATTTCCTAGTTGTCAAATCAGGTAGCTTCTGGTAAATGCTGTGAAGACAGCTCTGAAGTCTGTCAAGATATAACTGTTATATGATAAATACACAGATACAATATGATTGTTTACCCATTGTTCAATGGATAAATAAAAATGTTTGTACTCCCAGAAACAATTAAAATAATGAAAATTAATGGCAATTTGCAGATATTTAAAGAGTGTCTAGGAAAAGCCAAATGCTAATTAAACCAGATTCCTGTTATGTATGTATATAACTGTGAATTTGTTTATTATTTTGTCTGTTTAGTTTAATATTTGCAAAGGCTGTGGTTTTAGTTTAAATTAGGGCTAAATGTTCCTGCAGATCTTTTAGCCAGGTCTTTATGTATGAAGTTATCTACAGGAATAAGTCATTGAAGTCATTGTAACTTTTAACTTCAAAGAGAGAATGAGCAGGATGAAGAGAAATAAAGGACTGTGTTCTGTCATAAAGGAGATTTTATCTCCTCTCCTCTTCCATTCCACCATGGCCATCCCTAATCCATGCTTCCTAAATTGTGCAGTAGCTCCTTGCAGGAAGTTGCAGGCACAAAGGAGCAGGAGTGGAACCACTTTTCACCAAAGAAATTACACTGTCACTGCTTCTGAATGAAGAGCTGCAAAAAAAGAGAGTAATAATTTGTGTCCATGCTGGCTGCGTCAAGAGTGAGCAGACCTGAAATTCAGAGAGAAAGACTCATTTTCAACCACTAGGTAGTGAGTTTGGAGGAGTTAATCAAAACAAAAAGAGATTATGTAGGGAAATTTGGGGCATCCCAGCTCTGGAAGATCTTTAGGTACAAGCCAAACAAACATTTTCAAAAATAGCACAGCTAGAGCTGATCATGTCCTGGGGCAAGAGATAGACCAGATGACTTTTCAAGTCTCCTTCCCAGTCTATTTTTCTTTGTCTGTAGCTGCTCTGACACCTCTTGCACAGATACTATCTGTTGTAGTACTGGCTATTAAGCAGTAATACCCAATATTCCATCACTGAAGAGGCTGATCATTCTTTATTCTAGTCAATGGAACAAGACCAGAAACTATTTGTCCATTTCATCTCTATACAAGAATGTCATTAACAGCAGTAATTTCCAGCAGAATGCCACGTGTCTGCCAAGGGATGGGAGCATGAGTGCATACCTATTTCTTATATTGTTGTATTTTCACACAGTCTTTTCCCTCCAAACTAAGACTGCAAAAAACCAATAGTTACAAATAATAATGTTTGTTCTGAAAGGCAGGCAATAAACCTTTAGCAAACCATGTCACTGTAACCCCTAAATAGTAATTGTACTGCCTAAGGCATCTGATAAAGGATTCTAGTGTTCTTACTATATTGTGTCAGGCAGATACATCAATCAAACTCCATAATGGTCTAAATTGGAAAATAGGGTAGTGGGAATAAACAGTTCTAAAAAGTGGTGAAACTTTGTGACAAGCAGCCTTAACAGACCAATCTTGATTCTAAACATAGAAGCAATTTTAGGGCTTCTCTGGAGGCAGAGGACAATTATTGCCTAAACAAATAAACTAGTGTCTCAGTACCTCCAACATTCTCTAAAGTCAGTTTGAATGGGTTTTGAGTTCTGAATAGTAAAGCTTCAGGGACATTGTATCTTGACTCATTAGCTTTCACTGAACTGTATATGGATATCCTTTTAGATAATCCATATACTAAAGTGGAATAGAATAAGAAAACTGGAATATGTTATGATTTTAGTATCAATTCTTCTGCCAACAAAAATAACTAGATCTGAAAGTAGATTAAATATATATGTCAGGCACTGAATTTGACTGCTGATGAATACTGCACACTTAAAGTTCTTAGGTTCAATAAAAGCCCTGAACCTCAGATTCTATTGGGGATGTTTATTTTAATCTGTATGGCAAAAATGGACCTATCTGAGCATTTATATTCTACTGTGCTGAGGGCCTCTTTGCCTTGTAGGTGAACAGGGAATCCAGAGCCTACAGGCTCGTGCTTGCATTCATACTTGCACCATGTACTGAATGGAGTCATATAATGACAGAGGGAAAAGTTTCCCAAGAGCTTTTCTGCCATGGGAAGTGTTTATTCAGACTCCTAGAAAAAATTTAAATGTCACAGGTATTTAGGTTTCTCTGAAACAGGTTAGCCTCTGTTACAACTCGGAGTTGAATTTTTTGTGTGAAGTACTCACACACTCTCCAAGACTAACTGAAGAGATTTTCTGTAAGAATTAATCAGGATGCATAGACTGTCTTTCCTGCTATTTGAACAGTATCTAATACTGTACTAGCATCCTGTGAAGTATTATTACAGCAGGGCAAAAAAAGCTTCCTCTTTCTTGGAAATGGTAGAGCTAAGGAATGTGTCATGAATTTAGAAGTTAGTTTTGGTGTGGATTTTGCTAAAGCCATCTTCTTGTGATGTATGCTGATTCTTCTGATCAATCATGTAATTGATCTGGCATGAAGGAGATTATTATTTCCACCTAGTCATGATCACTCAAACCTTTTAAGCAGCAGTGAAGAGCAAGCAGATTGGGAAGCCCTGTGGCAAAACCATCATCAGTTCCAGACTGATAAAACATTTGGCACTTGAGAGTTACTGGGTAATAGTACATAAGTCAAGCACAATATTTTGGCCTAAAGATACTCAGTGGGATTAAGCTGCATTATCTTTTTTCTTTTTCAAAACTAACACTATTACAGGGATTTGGACAAAGATTAAAAAGAAAACCAAGAACTTTATCTCCAGCATTATAATGCATATTTATGCTTTACTGCAGATATATTAGGACTATGTAAAGTACATGTTCTTTCTATGGTTGAATCCTGTAATTTCTCTTATACTCTTCGGTTCTTGAATATTTTGCAGTGTCTGATAAATGGAGTGACAAATTACAAACATGCATTCATTGTATTTCTCTGAATTTTCTTTGCCTCCCATTTTTCTTTAAATCTCTATTGTAATTTCTGAAACAAGTCCAAACAACTCCTGATGAGTCCTGAATATAATCATATTGATAATTCTGGTGTTTGCTTATTTTTTGAACTATTTTTCTGATGATTTTTCTTACAGAAACATTTGGTGTGGATCTGTCCATTGTAGGCAATTAATTGTGGATTATTCACTTAGTTGAGAAGATGACTCTGATTTCACAAAAGAACTGGCTCACGGTGGGCTGTAGACTTACATACTATACACAAAGCTCTTTTTCTAGGAGATTTGTCTATACCCTTCATCAGCTGATGTACTTGCAGATGTACAGATTTCACATGACTTTGGGGAGATTTCTGACATTTGAAAGCATTGCAATTTTAATCTGTCCAGCAAAGACAAGGCAGCAGAGGGAACACCTTTATCTACAGCCACCAAGTCATCTGTGGGATGGAAGACCCCCTGTTCCCTCGATAGCTTCATTCTTACCAGGGTTACATAATGGGCAGCCAGAAAACACACCACAAAGGATAAAAAAGGAAAGGATAAAAGGATAAAAAAGGATAAAAAAGGATAAAAGGTAAAGATTTTCTTCACCTTGCCTACAAAACATTTTTTCCCCTTACTATCTACACAGTCTATTCCATCCCCACTTTCTGCAGAAAATGAAGCTGCAGTCATCATGTCCTTTTCTTTCATTTTCTTTCACCTCAGTTCTCCATAAGTGATGCCAGAGAAACAAACCATGCCCTACCAGATCTGGGAAATCTTAGTTAATCTTGCTTTTGGTAATCTTCAGTGATTTTTGATCCCACAAAAGATTTTCCACCAGTTGTACAGACAGACTTGGCTAATAGCTTTAATTTTGTTGTCAAACAGATGGTTTTTCTCAATTTGCTCATCTCTTACAAATTACTCAAGGCACAGTCACTTTTCTAGGAAATGTTTTGGGGGTGCTTGATCCTCTCAGGCTTTTTTCATGTTAGCAAGTAGTAGGATCAAACAGAAACAGAGCTGAGCACTGGGGTATTTAACATATACATTGTTGGGGCAAGTTTACTTCAGACTAATTTAGGAAGAAAGGAGAGCCCTGGCAGAGTTGGGAACATCTTTGAGGAAGCACAGACATTTCCCTTCAACCACTATAATGGCTTGTGCCATGTCCAAGCCCTCTGCCTTCATTGTAAGCAAGAAAACCCCTTGGAACATTACCTGTACTTAACTGAAGAGAGCACCCTATTCCTATGTCCTCTCATTCATCTATGTGCTAAGAAGCCTGATATTTCTTTTGAGTCTTGAGTCAAAAAGGGAGCAGAAAATGCTCTTTTCACTCTTTAAGAGACAGATGTTTGGGGATGGAGGCGTTAACTGAAGACAGGCAGCGTGGGAAGCAGTGCAACCACGGAAGAAAGCTCTGAAGGAGCTCTGGGGTGAGGCAGTGGCTCCGTATTCTGCCTCATCCCAGCTTCCACCATAGGATCTTCTTTTCAAGACACCTGGCTTGAGTCTCTGAGATTGTCATTGCTGAAGTGGTAAGTGCCCACACATTCCTGAAGCTGATGGGAGTTTGTCCTTGAAGGTACAAGCTTCAGGGAATGTTACTTTTGCTATGTTAGGAAAAGGGGAAAATGTCAGCTAAATTCATCTTATGTGCAGTAGCTGTTTATGTATTTCCTAAAATCAAACACCTGAGAACCAATTTCAGTTTAGATAGCCATCCACAATATCTTTAAGGAACATTTTATTATTTTTCAGTTTTCCCCTCCTTGTTCCTCAATGTGTTTCAATTATTTCCCCCTTTTCTTTCCATTTTCATGGGGTAAAGTCTCCCACAAGGCTGTGTGCTCTTCCACACTACAACTAGGGGCTGTATAATAAACCTCTTCTCTTGCCTTTCTCAGAAAGCCTGTGCTACAGAGGAAGATGGGAACAGCAAGATTATGGACTACAGCTGCCTGAGGTATTACGGTAGTATTTCATTACTGAAGTATTTTAATTGTGAGCCAAAATATTTGAGAATTTGTTTATTTTTAAAGTTGAAATTTTCCACTGTTTAATTTCCCTAAATAGCTTTAATGCTATGCAGTCTGAAAATGGTCCTAGATATCTCACACTGGACATCCAAAATTATTTTAGGTGTTTTTCCTAGTTTTGCCACTTTACTGGTCTTACATAGTAATAGAACATGACCATTAAGAAAACTTAAGTAGTGTTAAAGCATGTGATAATAGAGTAAAAATTGTTTGAAAAATGGTTGTAAAGTAGAATTGTGTTCAAAAAAGATTGCTGAAGAATCCTAATTCTGGAACAAAAGAGGATTTTGGTTGGAATTTATGTATGTATTCAATTCAGGAAAATTTTAATGTCTTGCTGCATACATTAGGATTCTGTAATGTTATTGTAAACATTACAAATAGAACACAAGTACTATTGCTGAAAATATTATACAGCATCCTTATTCAGGAGTTGTCTTTTCAGTAAACATAGACAAAGTTTTCTACACGTTTCTTGTTCAGAATAAAATTGCTCTTCACATATACAGTGCTACAGTATTTGCTAACAATTACTGTGATCTTTAGCAAGGTTATATCTGGATTTCACTGTTTCAAAGGTAGTGGTGGGGAGGAATAAGCAAGCTAAACCTTTCAGCCTGTTTTTAGTGCTTGTCAGGTCAACTGTATGAACACACTGCTCTTCCTTAGGATACTGATCTGCCCATGCTGATGCACTCAGGTTTGGATTGCAGTGACAATGAGGTTTTGGGCAATGTCATACCTGCCCATGTATACAAGTGACACAATCCAATCAAGATACCCCTGGTGACTCGGAAACTTTGGAGTCTGATGATGAACTAGTTCTTAGATTTGTAAACATCACTGTTTTCCACAGTGGCACATGCTTGTCTGTTAGCATGGTGTATTAATGATACATATTATTTTGTCAGAGCTGCTTTAAATGTGTCTGTAAGGGATTTTTACTGTATGTGTTTACAGTGCTTGCTCCTTGTCAATTAGAGGACACACTGCAGCTTAGTAGGCTCATGCACAGATTTTTATAGGATGTCAGAACAAAATGATTTTTTATTGACAAAGGGTCAAACAAGTTGTGCTTTTTGTTATGTCACACTAAACAATATGAGGAGCATGTTAAAAAAGCTCACTAGAAGGCAAAGGCTAGGAGAAATGATTTAAAGCTACATTATCCTGTTTCTAATTCCTTTTCTTTCTTCCTGCGGAAATGTAATTGCAAGAGGCTGGGAGAAAGGATTGGAGCATTGGCTTCTATGTCAGCCTTGAAGAGAGTCATAAAGTCTCTTTTATGGGGTTCTCTCTAGCTTACTTCTACTTTTCCAAATTAGAGGAGACAATATGACAATCTTAGCTAGCTCTGATCTTACATCTTAATTTGAAAACTCATCAGCAACATCAGTGCCCAACTTTAGGGGATATAAGGAAAAATTTTTGAATTTAAACAATTTCCCATCAACCTGCAGCAAAGGCCCTTTTTACAATTGTTGGCACATTGCTTTAAAGACTTCCTTTTCCCCAATTTTATAGGTGCTGATAATAAATATTCTGCATATCTAATGTCTGTCTCAGTTAAGCTGTCTGGTAGATCCTAGATATAGGAATCAAATATGCATCTGGAAGATTGAAACTGTAAGTTGTGCTGAAATTTTTCTGAATTGACTACAGCAAACATAAAGCACTAGAAATTATAAATCTGTGAAGCAGTTGAAGATTTTTTTTCATCATCATTTGTTGAGGACTAGGTCTGTCTGTTTTACATATTTTGAATTCTTTTAAACTCATATCTATGTTTTAAACCCCAGAAACCTTACAGTACTGTGTATCACCCATTCCTTACCATTTCCTGGCATCATTCAATAAAATTCCTGTAGTTGCAGCATGCTGCTGGTGCTGGTGTACCTTGGTCATGACCTGGGAGGACCACCCACTCCTGTAAAAGAGAGGGTAAGTCTGTCTCTATGCTAATTTGATTTTAGACTCCCTTTGAAGAAAAAGTATGTGTGTCCTTCAGTCAGCTTCACTTTGGGCTGAGCTGCTTCTGTGGTGCAAATTTAGGTCTTCAGGAGCCATTTATATCTGTGTGTATAAGGCAGAGGGTATTTTGTGTGTGTAGGTGAGAATGAGGAGGGAAACATTTATTGGTGCTTTTGTTTCTTTTTCTAGTTGAAAAAAGCCCACATATTTTGCTAGTTATATTTGAAAAAAAAATTAAAGAAAAATAAAAGCAGTAATATTAGCAAAATGAATTTTTAGTTAATGAGATGTGATTGATTACTATGAAAGGAAAAAAAACTAATATCTTATTACATATAAATCTATGTGTATTTTTAAAGATCTAAATAATTTTATTTGCTACAAAAAAAAGCACTTGCAATTAGGAATGAAAAATGCAGTAAGTCAATGAAGAGAAAATAAATTTATTGAAGTGACTTTGCAAATCACAGTTAATTGAGCCACAAACAAAGCAGCAAATAAAGGAAATAATGTGGTAATTGGAGCCCTTATCCCTTATTGGCATAGATTATGGCTTGCTATCTTTTAGCAGTATTAAATCATTGCATGTGAATGTTGCCAAAAAAACTCTTCATTTCCTTTTAGTGACTTCTTACTGCCCTCAGTTGAAGTTTAATAGAAAAGGAAGGACATGATGTAGTTTTAATGACAGGAAACCCATGGCTTCCAAATGAATAAATTCCATCACTGGCTGCCACAAAGTGTGCTAATTATTTCCTTTGATAAATTAAAAGCCGTAAAAGTCCAAAGTGTATAGCATGTGGTTTACAGTTATAGTCTGCCTGTCTGCATTATTGAAAGTTCATATAAACCTCATTATTTTAATTTAATAAACATTATAATTATTTTTTACACCAGTAGGCTATATAGAAAGCACATGTTGGAGACAAACTTGTCTGACAGAAGCGTAAATAGTCCACAAACAGAATAAGCAAGGAACGTGATATGTCATGTGTCATGATAGCTTGGGTTTTTTATGATACTTACAAATGAGCAGATGCTTATTTTTTTAGCTTTATAAACAAGAGAGTAGTGACTAGCTTTATTCTGTAAATGAGTATCTCGTTCTGCAAAGTGTGCTCTGATGTAAAATATAGCCCCTTGCATTTTTCAACAGAGTCTGAGAAAACCTGGGAAAAGTCTAGGGAAATCTGGAGAGGGAAATGGAGGTTTTAAAATAAACATTGCAGGGCAAAAAGGAAAAAAATCAAAAAACACCAAAACCCACCCCAAAAAAAAAAAAACCAACAAAAACCCACCCCTATTTTATCTAAAATAATTAAAAATGTCCAACAGTAATGTAAAATAACCAGGGATGGTTTGGTGCTGTTTGGCTTGTTTTTTTCCGTTCCTTTTTTTTTTTTTTTTTTTTTTTTTTTTTTGTCCAAAAATGGCCATATCCAATGACAGAATAAGAGCCTGAATATTTTTAATGCCTATTGTACTAATGACATTCAGGCCTGCTCAGTCCCTCATGGGATTAGGCATTTACCTTAATGCAAAATAACCCAAAACAAAACAAAAACCAAAGAAACTGAAGAATGAGTAACAAAGCGTATTTTTATAGGTTATGAAAGCTCATTTTGGCTTATTGTTCTAAAACATTTTAAGTGGCAAATACTTTACTTTCAGGCTAATCAGACCACACAGTAAAAGAAATAGGTAAAAGTGCCAAATCTTTTGCTGTGTCCTGATCTAATACACCTGACTACAGCTGTAAACTGACTCAAATGCACTTTTAAAACAAAAAAAAAAAGTATTCTGCTGGGCTACACGATAATTTTGCTAAGTGTATTCATTTGGTAATGAGACTGGAAATTTCTGGAGACACAAGACAGAAATGGCATGCCAGAGCAGAGGGCATAGGTTCACACAGCAAATATCTGGAACCATCAGGAGGATGAACAGAACTAGGTCTGACAGGACCAGGAAAAAGCAGAAGACGGGCAAACCATTCTGCCCTCTCAATTTAAAATGCATGCTAAAGAAACCACCACAGATACTGATTAAAATAACAGGAACTGGAGCACATACTGTTTTTCCACTGTATGTGATAAAACACATTGCAGAGGTGGGTATGCACAGATATCTGTGCCTTGCTGTGGGACAGCTGCAGCTCCCTAATGACTGATTCCTGTGTCTCGTGATGCTACAGCTCATGTTGGAGGGCTTGTTTGTGCTGCTTATTGAGCTATGCTGTCCCTTGCTCAAATCAAACCCTGCTGGCCAGCACAAATGTGTAACTGCTCTGGCTTGCTTGTGCTGGAAGCAGCTTTTCTGCAACGAGGCAGAGACCTCTGCCTATGTATGTCTTGTNCAGCATTCATGTTAGAAAAATAACAGTGGAATGGCTGCTGGGACTCTGTTCAGAATCTGACCCACAGAGTAGGTCCAGCTATGAAACCCCCTCAGTACTAAATTTGTGTTGTTACCTGGAAGGTCAAAATGAAAGTGAAAGGCTAGATAGTCTTAAAAACAAAAGAGAAGACATTCCTCACTGGAATCACTCTTAGGCAAAACATCAAATGACATCTTCCCAAGAAAACCAGTGAACACCCTATTAATCTCAACAGACACTGCCTTTTATTCCGTTCCTTTTTTTTTTTTTTTTTTTTTTTGGTCCAAAAATGGCCATATCCAATGACAGAATAAGAGCCTGAATATTTTTAATGCCTATTGTACTAATGACATTCAGGCCTGCTCAGTCCCTCATGGGATTAGGCATTTACCTTAATGCAAAATAACCCAAAACAAAACAAAAACCAAAGAAACTGAAGAATGAGTAACAAAGCTTATTTTTATAGGTTATGAAAGCTCATTTTGGCTTATTGTTCTAAAACATTTTAAGTGGCAAATACTTTACTTTCAGGCTAATCAGACCACACAGTAAAAGAAATAGGTAAAAGTGCCAAATCTTTTGCTGTGTCCTGATCTAATACACCTGACTACAGCTGTAAACTGACTCAAATGCACTTTTAAAACAAAAAAAAAAAGTATTCTGCTGGGCTACACGATAATTTTGCTAAGTGTATTCATTTGGTAATGAGACTGGAAATTTCTGGAGACACAAGACAGAAATGGCATGCCAGAGCAGAGGGCATAGGTTCACACAGCAAATATCTGGAACCATCAGGAGGATGAACAGAACTAGGTCTGACAGGACCAGGAAAAAGCAGAAGACGGGCAAACCATTCTGCCCTCTCAATTTAAAATGCATGCTAAAGAAACCACCACAGATACTGATTAAAATAACAGGAACTGGAGCACATACTGTTTTTCCACTGTATGTGATAAAACACATTGCAGAGGTGGGTATGCACAGATATCTGTGCCTTGCTGTGGGACAGCTGCAGCTCCCTAATGACTGATTCCTGTGTCTCGTGATGCTACAGCTCATGTTGGAGGGCTTGTTTGTGCTGCTTATTGAGCTATGCTGTCCCTTGCTCAAATCAAACCCTGCTGGCCAGCACAAATGTGTAACTGCTCTGGCTTGCTTGTGCTGGAAGCAGCTTTTCTGCAACGAGGCAGAGACCTCTGCCTATGTATGTCTTGTGCAATTCAGTAGTTCAGTGCAAAACTAAGAATGTGTTTCCTTGGTTTGTCAAAGTGTATGCCTAAATTTTCTGAAGCAAGTTCAGATTGCATGTGCTATGGGAGGAGGTCTGCAGAATTGTATCAAATTGCACTGATGCTGACTTGGTGCTGAAATGATTTGATATTTCAACTAGAACTGATCTGTTTTAGAATGATTGATAATTCATCGTGTTATGGGGAAAGATGTAAATGTCTGTGAGAAAAAGAGAAAAGAAAAAAAAGTACCTGATTTTATGATAAAGTGCTTGAGCCAATTTCTGAGAAATGTTATTTTGCCTTTTGTTGAACTGACATGGAAACATCTTTTGTTTGATGTAATGGCACCTTTCTGTCATTTCATTGTTACATGGTAATATGAAAAATGTTTTTGAGGAAACAGAGTAATAAGTTTTTCTGAATATTTTAGCTGAAAAGGAGGTTGAGAAAGAACTGGGGGAGGTGTTCTAACATTCTTGCAGAAATAATTGGTGTTGCAAGGAAGTGTAGGAGGGTGAGTTCTTCCACATTGCAATATAATGCAGTCTCAGAAGTACTTAACTGTACCATGCATTATACTTGAAGTATAATTGATTGCAAAGAGCTAAAAAAATATATTAGAAATACCAAATTTATAGTAACACTTGCAAGAATATTACCTTGAAGAGGGGCACACTCCCTTTACAACTGGATGTCACTACTTCTCTGTGATAACAAACCTATTTAAAATAGAATAATGGACTATTAACAGCATAGTGAGGTCAAATCAAATGCAAAATAAAAATATCATAGTAAACTGTGGCAAGATTGTAGTGTATAAATTACTGCTGACTAACAATTAAAGGACCTTTCATAGACTTGCTATGTCTGTAGTACAAAATTTAGAGAGAGATATTTTTTTGGTTTTGATTATAAAGACATATTAGGGTCTACTTGGAAAATGCAAACACATGTTGACCAGGTAAAGGAATTCTGTTACTTTTTCTTTTCTTTTTTTTTTTTTTTTTTTTAATTAGCAGGAAGAAGATAAGATTACTGCTTTTTAGAGATTATTTACTTAATTGATTTTTCCTTCTGTAGTCATAATATATCTTCTTATAACTGAAAATGGCTCTCATAACAGATAATCGCATATTTTCATTGTATCTTGCTGAAAGAATAATTAACTTTTTTAGAAATGCCATTGTGAAACTACCTGTAGAGACCAAAATACATGGTAAAAGTTTTCCGTAAAATACTACAGGTCCTTAAACATCTGATTAATATTAGCAGTATGGAGTAGAAATATTTTGTTTTAAAGAGTTTCTTTGTCTCTTTAATATTTGTTCTTGTAGTTG